TACCTTGAGTGAGTAAAGGTTGAAATACTGAACTATAGCAGGTTTTATACAGCCAACAATTCTTTTGTGAGGCAACTGGTTTTCTTATCCCCAAAATAATTGTCATTCATGATTTGTTTGTTTAAATCCACTCAAATTTACTCATTCTATTCTATTAAATTATTATCAGAAAAGAACATGTAAAACATAGTTGAAGTGTTCAAGTTAAGAGATTTTCATTAATAATTTGACAGTGTACTTTCCTATTAGACGAAGTTCTGACAAGGACACAGTTTTGCTTGTGGTTAATTTCCTGTAAGTTTGGGTACAAAAAAAAGCTGTTCTGAAAGTTAGCTACTTGGCACAACTTTGTAAAATACAAATTATTTAAAAGTTTGTGAAAGGCCACTGGCTGAAGAATAGTGCATCAGTCTGAAAGTCCTGATGCCATTGCTCACTGCATCAGGAAACAGATGGTCTATGTAAATTCAAACACTAGGACTCCGAAGCAGGAAAGCAAAGCAAAACTGCCTCAATTTAACTTTGCGTGGCTTTTAACATGCACAGATTTAGAATTGAACTTCAGTCATTTCCTCAGTCAGATTGCTCATAATGTAAATTGCGCTTGGGTACCAATCAGTTTAGTGCCTTAAACCTGGTTCCCTGTCTGCTTTTCTTTTCTTCTTTTCTTTTTTTTAATAACACATTTGCCTGCTTTTAAACACACAGTATAGTAAGAAGTAGGAATCTTTAATTAAATTTCACTGAATGGCTGCAGTGTCCTTCAAGGTTCTATCTTGTGACCCTAAATGTTCAGAACAGCAATGTCTTCCAACACAACTGTTCAGGTGAAACTCAACCACCTCCTTTCTCTCTCTGGCCAGTGGTGCTAAACAAACCAAGCAAACAGATCAATCAATAAACTGCTTCTAAAGAGAAGCTATCTTCTGTATTATGTGTATCGTATGTGTATTATATGAATCAAAACTAGTGGAAACCGTCAGCAAATTACTTTCTTTTCAAAATGTAAAGATAGACTCAATCTTCACTGTTTGTAATGCACAAATGGGTTTGTTTATTCCTGTTATTTTCCTCTGCTTCAGCTCTGAGCATCTTTATGAATCCATCTCGCTGCCAAACTGAAAATGTATTGCACAAAGGTCATAGAATACATTTCCATGAGAAATCACTCCACTGCACAGCACTAAAAATAATCTTCTACAAATGCCACTTAATCTCTGAATGAGTAGTTTTTTTCTGAGAAACATGCAGGAGGTGAAGCAGTTTCACAGTCTGATAGAGAGGTGATAGAGTGAGTTTTGTCTCCACTTTTCAACTCGTGTGAAGTTGTTCCTGTGCCTCAGACGTGTGTGGGATTAACTTACTTTTGCTTTGTTCTGTCATATTCTGGATAGTGTGATAAAATAAATGTTATATTTTCTATTCTACTGAATTTTGGATCCACAAGACCTTTTTAGCGGAGCAAGTAATATGGGAAGGGTGAGTGTGGGAATACTGACGATATCAGGTTTTCTGAGGAAGGGGGGTTCATGCCTCAAGAAGGCTTCTCTTTAGTAAAGGTCCATCTGATCAGGCAGCTCTATGATGGCTGTTATGACCCAGCTCTGTTTTATATTTATATTTTGGACAAATATGCCGTATTAATGAAAGAGACAGCCATTTTGATTTTGATTTATGAATTAAAAAAATTACTTCAATTTAACTATGTAGATTTTAATCTCAATCATACTATTACGACTGTAGTATATGCAATTATACTACACGATTAAAATAAGCACAACACAGAATCTCCGTTATTTTTTGGTCTGTTTAGTTTTCTAGCAGATCTGGCTGGTTTTCATAAACTTCCTGAATCAAGGAGTGCAATACTCAGAGAAATAAAGCTCTATAACTTTGGAGCCCGGATGGAGCAAAAGGACTGAAAGCACCACATATGTTTGCTTCACATTTAAAGGAATACTGAACCATACCAGGACAAATTAAGCAACTGGGACTGTGCTTGTCAGATGCCAAAGATTTCCTGGACTGAAAACAAATAGAGAATTTTCTGCCCTTTCTCTGAGTGGCACAAACCAAGCATAACATTACTGTCAACTTGAATCTACATCGTTAAATTGTAGATTGTGTTAGAAACAAATTGGCTGGACAATTTAGTCAGAACATCCTAAAACTGCAGATTACAATGCAAGTGGGTAACAAAACCTGTGGCTCAATTTTCTAAGCATTTGATTTTTAATTTTCCTTTAAAAAATAGGTTGGGAAGCTCCTTGTATTGTACTTTGTTGTGAATTGCAGTTTTGCAATGCTTTGGTGTAAACAAAAACAGTGTAATCATTTATTCAACATAGGGCTGAAATGAAATCTATGAGGATTTGTGATTATAGTAGTGATATTGTTACTCCTATCTGTTATTGGGTGAGTTAAAGGTAGATTTAACCAGTCACAGACAAGTATGAGCAGAATAAGTAGATTGTATTTACTTCTTATAAAAAATGTAACAGATAGAAAGTGTTGATGATATTCTACCCATAATGTATTTATTTGTCACATATTGAGTAATAGACAAATGCATCTCTTGAAGTTTTTAGTTAAGATAAAACCAGTAGAAAAAAGGCATGACACAACCATGCAATTAGGCCAAGTATCCTCCTCTGACACTGATTATTCACTTGCGGCATTTGAACAGGAAATATTAGTCTGCATTCCCCATGGTGACAATCAGCTTGTATTTAATAGTCTAATTGTCAGAACATTATTGTACTAATAACAAGCATTGGGTAGATTCCAATTGTTGCTTAATATCAGTGTGTTCCATTGTATCAGGCGTCTCTTTATCTGTCACCATTACCTTAGCAAGTGAATTCAGCACATTATTGAAGTGCAGTGTGTTCTAGTGCAGGGACTCATCTGACAGAGTCTAGGAGGAGATGGGAGAATGCATTCAATTTCTCCTTCCTCTTTGTGTTTGTGGCTTTTATAGACTGTTTTACAAAACTACAATTTGCCCTGAAAGTCTTTATCTTTTGACTTCATTTCAAGTAATGGTTTAAGGGCCTGCACTTGAATTTTAGTTGCGGAAAATGCCTTTTAGTCCATATACTTTATTGCAGAAAAGAAAAAAAAAAAAAGAGACCAAATGATGGGAGCCTCATACACAGTAGTTGTTTCTCTGGTTCAGTAGTGGAGTGGGCAGGGGAATACCAGGTCGAGCATCTCCCTGGCTTGAACGTCCCAGCTTGAGCATCCCATTCTCTCGGCGGGAATGTCCCCCTCCTCCTTCTGGGTGCTCCCTTCTCTTGGGTAGCACACGTGTAACTGCAGTGCCCAGGAGAGGGGGGACGTTTTAGCATGTGATGTATTGAGTTAGAAAATCATTCTCTATTATAATAAAATGAAATGTGAATGTAGCGAGACCAAATGTCGGGTCTTGTTTGTCATTTTACTGATCTGCCCAAAGTGGCACACATTTTTCGAGTATGTAATATGAATATAATCCTCTTCCTCCTATTTTAAATATGTAATGTTTTCTTGTTCCTCATGTCCTATAGCATCTGTAACTTTTGATTTGGGAAGAATAATTAATGCTTTCCTTACCTGCTTGCCATGAACAATCAAATTATGTCATGTAACAGGGGATAAAAGCAGGGTGCTCATACTTGCTTATGCTCAACATGAACAAATGTGTTGAGATATATTGTAATGTGTGTGTGTAATTAATGCAGTATATATAATGAAAAAATGTATTTATATTTATTTATATGTATATAGATTAACTAACATAGTTTCATAAAGGGCACAATTCAGGGGGACCTTCCAGCCAGGGGGACTTTCCAGCTGATTTCCAGGCAGAGACAGCAGTTTCATTTGTAAAATTTGTAGCAATGAAGCATGTCTGTAATTGCATAACTTCAATATATGTAAAATGCCATACTGTGGAACATTCTAGGCAAAAATCTCCATGAGACGAGCAGGAGATGTACCTAGTTCAGTTCTGGATTAGTCCTTGTTTTAATTATTTCATTTCAGGTGGCATGACTTCATTTTGTCAGTTCAGTTATTCTTTATTTTCTTCTGTACTGTGTCGTCCCTTAGTTTAGTTAGTGTATCACAGGTCTTGAGAATATTTGAGATAGCAATCAATTTATTCTGCTTGCTGTATTTCTTACACAACTGCTTCCACTCTAATAGATTGTATTAGAGCACTCCATTCATGTCTTTACTCCCTATTTTATGGCTAAGGTCTTTGGCACTCTGCAGCCTTACGTTCACGAGCTATTCAACCGTGCATGGAGGACGATGAACTGTCTGGAAGCTTGACAAGGAAAATGCAGAAAATATGGTGGCTAGAGCAGGAGGCGGGGCTTGTGTAGCTCTGCCGTGCGGCTTCTTGGTGCGTTCCCATCTGTGAACTCCACCTTCAGCTACAGCAGGAAAGCCCTTTTCCACTGGCTGCACACGGCACGCTGCTCCGAGGCGCTGCAACGGCATGGCACGAACACACATGCGTATCTGCCTGTGATGTAGAAGAGGGATGACAGCATAGGAGCAGGCGTGGGAGGGAGGGAGGGGAGGAGGAGAGCCAGTGAGAAGAGAGAGAAAGAGAGAGAGAGAGTGTGTGCCCAGGGAGGATGGAGCGAGAGAGCTGAACGCGTGAGATAAACATTCAGAAGAGGAGGGGCAGAAGAGGAGAGAGCGTGACACGGGCTACCACACCTCTCTCCATCTCTCTCTCTTTTTCCTACGTCACGCGCGTACCGGGGGGAGGCGCGCGAGCCTTGGCTGTCTTCGCTTGTGTGTGTCGAGTGGAGAGCTGTCTACTGAGGACCCGAGCTCAATCACCATCACTACATCCATTTACAAAAGCAGCAAAAACACTGGTAGGTTTTTGTTTTTTGGGGGTTGCCCTCTCCTTGACATTGATTCAACCTCTGACCAGAGCCAGCAGTCTTCACACAGTCGACTTCGAGGAGAATTAGAGTGACCTTCTCCAAAGTGCAACCATGAACTTCCTTCGTCGTCGTCTTTCGGACAGTAGCTTCATGTCCAACCTGCCCAACGGTTACATGTCGGACTTGCAGCGCCCCGATCCGCCCGCCCAACCTCCACCCGCCGCCACCTCTCCGTCCTCCTCATCAGCCCAGCAAGGTGCACCTCCTCCGGCCGCGTCCCCGACCAAAGCCCCTGCACAGGTACCCTCCGGTTCTCCCGCCAGTCAAGAGCGCCGCGCGTCTCAGCAAGGGCAGCAGACCCAGCCGCCGAGCCAGACGACCTCCTCCAGTTCTGGGAGCGGAGGTGGGTTCTTCAGCTCCTTCAGCTCCATCACAAACGTGGTCAAACAAACTGCCGCCTCTGCTGCCGGCTTTGTGGAGCAGTCTGCACCTTCTCCATCCCTCTCCAAGAAGTTCAAGATCCTCCTGGTGATCGATGAACCTCAACATGAGTGGTAAGTGCAGTGGACTTATTTGGCTTTTACTGGTATCACGAAATGTCTTCTGCACATCTGTCATTACCAACAAGAAAATCATGAATATGTAATGTTTCTTACATGTAGGAGGGCAATTTTTTATACACAGCATTAACATCTTAGTTACATAAATAAGATTTCACTTTCCAAAATTGTAAATGCGTAAATATAGAGAGATGATAGCCAGGTAATTTTGAAAGAGCTTTGTCTGTGAGCTATTGTAGATTTGGCTCACATTGGCTCAAAAAAGATAGATGGAAGATCAATACTTTTTTTTTTTAACATACATACTAATATGAAGATGTGTTGTGCTATCATTGTTACTACCTCATTCTGCATCTACTGGCTTATGAATCATACTCCAGCATATAATCCCTTGCTTTTCTAACATTACATTTGGAGCAGCTCAATATTTTAAATGCTTTCTGATCTCTCGCTGAAGGTAGCTCCCAAAATAGCATCATCCCCTTTTAATCCAAGCTGAACCGACCGCCTCATCGCAGTTTGGGATTCACACTTCCCCACCTAGAACCTAGCGCTGTCACCTGCCTCCATGTGTTTCTGTCTTGAATTTTTAACCACACGAATGTCCATGTACTCTCATTGTAAAGCATGCATGTACTACTACTACTACTGCGCCCTGTATAGAGTGATTTCCATTCCTTGACAGCGCATCATGGCTAACAGATAATACCCATGCCTCTGACTCATACATCATGCACTATCATACAAGAGTCCAGCGCTAGTGAAAGATGAAGCCTGTGCTACTCCATGTTGCTGCGTGGATCCTAATAATGCATTTTATTGCAATAATTATAGCAATGTAGCTGGAAATTGTTGTCTGTTGTCCGTCTGGCATGGCAATGAAAGGCAGTTGAATCGATTGGGCTCAGATTTAAACCCTGTTGTTGACCCGTGCTGATAAAGACATGTTTCTCCATAGTAATTGTGAGTGGCACAGATTTGCAGAAACACTGGAGAGTTTTTGTGAATGGTTGTTCTTTGGTTTGGGCAAATGTCAAGCAATAATAGATTCTTTCATGCTATTTTATGGTTGTTTTTTTTTTGTTTTTTTTTGTAGTAGTAGTAGTAGTAGTAGTAGTAGTAGTAGTAGTAGTAGTAGTGTAAAAAAAAAAAAAAAAATAAAAATGTGCTCGAAAATAGAATTGAAACATCAACACAAAAAAATCACATAAATTGGACAGAAGTGCACCTTTTTGGAATAGTTTTAGAATGATCTTCATCATAGCCAAACTAGTAATATAAGGCCATGTGGTACAATTAAAGATACTACTATGTTTTGAAAATTATATTATCGTAAACATTTTTATTCATTTAAAAATATATTCTCGCACTGTTAGAATTCGTTCTCTCGATGGTAGGCGGGTACTTTTTTTCATTTAACCAATTGCTGCTATTTGGTTGTCACGTATGTAATGCGCCTCTAACGGGGCTAACTGGTATATTAAGCTTTTCCCAAATTCCGTAGGAAGAAGGGCAATAACATCTTTCCTAGGAATGGGCATGATTAATCGATTAATCGATAATTGATCATTAAGAATTTCATCGATTACGTTAATTTTAATCGACAAACCACATGTAGCTCTCTGCACTCAGAAGGAGCGAGCAGACACAAACATTCGGTCAATCTGCAACGTACCGAAGCACAAATGTGTATTTAACAATGATTTGTACAAGAAATTCCACACTTTCCTTTGCTTTCGGGACAAGTGTGAGGCCATGTGCACAGTGTATAAAGCAGGAACGTATGTTTCGGTGTCCAGTGGAAAAAAGCTTTGCCAGGTGAGAGTCGCGCAATATCGATGACGAGTCCCCACCTCCCACCCCCCGTACAGTGTCCTGGTTTTGACAAACGCAAATCTGGTCACACTAACCTGTATTCCACTGAATCATGTCTTTTAATCTGACAGAAATTGACCGCATCAGCGCACAAGAGCTGTAGTTTTATCTTCGCTTAGTTTATGCAAATTAGCGATGCGGTTTTAAGTTTCGTTTCTGTGAGAGTTGCACAAAAATGAATTAAACACATTATAATGTCAAACGGATTGATGTGGCTCTAGAGTGGTTACGCTTTATAAGTCGTAAAGTTGAATGTATTTATGCAGATTAGTAGTGCAGATAGTAATAATAATGATGATCATTTTAATATAAAAACGTTAATGATTAATCGATAATCGATCGTTAACTCTTCCAACGATCGATTAAGAAAATTTCATCGAATGCCCATCCCTAATCTTTATCCCTTGATGAAATTCACCAAACATTCTCTTTATTCTGGCTTTAAAACCTCGATCTCGGGAATCCTTGACAACACTGAAAACATCACTCTTCACTGATTGGCTGGTGCCCGAACTTGCACTTCCGGGGTTTTTGCGAACCGTCTAGTGTATTTGGATTCCTGACCTAGTTGCTGGAGAGAAATGAAAATGCACGGAGGCACTAGGTGGCACCAGCCTGGCTAGGATTTCTTCACTTGTAAGGTACAGCCAAAATACTATGTAAGAGGCATTTTTGGGACGGACGCCAATCTTTATTTGTTTTGGGGTTGATTTGGGTGTTGGATCTTAATGACTAGATACAGCAATTACCCCTGAATGTAAAATATTTCAATTCTAGATAGTATAAGCTCTTCAAATGTTTTCTTTTTGGTTCCAGCTAGTTTTCCTCTCAGATTTGATGGAAAGATGGATGACTGAATCCACTGTGTTATATGTGTGATGACATGGGTTGTATGTTTCACCCATCATAACCTCACCCTTGCCCTATTAAGCCTGAGATCTTGGTTTGACAATATGTGAATGCTATTTTCTATCACTATAATCTTCTGTATCCGGCTGTGTTGCACCAAAGTGTGGTCCAGTCATGCAACAGGGATTTAGAGCGAGCTGCATCATAAATAAATAAGAGGATGAGAGAGCGGTGTGGACTGTCTGGCATGGGAGATAGGGAGATGTCGAATAGGTGTGGGTCTGTTGGTCTTTGAATATGGCTACAAAGCATAAGGAGACCTAAAGCCAATGTATAATGTATCAACGATCGCAAAGACCTATACTCCTGTCTTGGATATAGTTTAGTCCTGGTGTAGCCCTGGTTTAGATCCAGATTTACCTTGGTTTTAGATAGTATTTCCCTTTTTTTTTTTTGCAGTAATGGTATTGCGTAGTAGTTAAAGGGCCCATTTTACACTCTTCTCTTCTCATCAATGTTATAATGCTGTTTTCTCCTCAAAAACATACCTTGAGTTGTGTTTTGTTTCATTCACACATGTTTAACACACAGACCCTGAAAATTTATAGCCTGATTCATTAGCCGGTTTCACTTCGTAGAAACCGTCTGACCTCGCAGTGTTAGAATTCGTTCTCTCGATGGTAGGCGGGTACTTTTTATCATTTAACCAATCGCTGCTATTTGGTTGTGACGTATGTAATGCGCCACTAGCGGGGCTAACTGGTATATTAAGCTTTTCTCAAATCCCCTAGGAAGAAGAGCAATAACATCCCCTTGATGAAATTCACCAAACATTCTCTCTATTCCGACTTTAAATTCTCAATCTCGAGAATCATTGACAACACTGAATATACGGCTCTTCGCTGAGTGGCTGGTGCCCGAACTTAGGCTACGTTCAGACTGCAGCCTGAAGTGACCCAAATCCGATTTTTTGGCCCCTATGTGACCTGTATCTGATCTTTTAATGACAGTCTGAACAACACAGATCCGATTTTTTTAAATGCGACTCAGGCCACTTCGATATGTGTTCCTAAAACCGATGCATATCCGATCTTTTGACATGCGACTTCAGTCTGAACGGCCAAAGTGCATTCATCCGACCTACATGTTATCAACAAGCCACAAACGTCACTATTCTGCGCTGAATTAGGTGAAAATTGTTAATGAACTCCGTGTCACTGAAGCGAAGCACATGGCCACTCACCACTCTTGGCTCCGTCTCCGCATCCACACGTTCCTTTCGACGGACGTTGCTGCCACTGCCCCACAAAACGCCATGGCCAAAAACCTTGTCCTTCTCCTTCTCAATCTCCTCCTTAAAACAAGTAAGCTGTTGTATGTTGTATGTTCTGGCTCCGGTATGACAGGAACTTAAAAAATCACCAGGTGCTCAATGCTCGCGTCCATGTTTGGACAACTTCAGTAAACACAGAGCACGCTCGCTGCGGTTGACGTCACCGTGTCCTCCAGTGCACAAGCGGGACACTTTTGGGCCGTTTAAAATTCACACTGGAGATCACATACAAGTCGCATTTAATTGGAAATGTGAACGACCTCGCAAAAACATCGGATTTCACAAAAAAATCCGAATTGAGCGTTAAACCCTGCAGTCTGAATGTAGCCTTAGTGTATTTTGCTTCCTGACGTAGTTGCTGGAGAGAAATGAAGACCTGGAATTGCCAATCTTTACTGAATTAAAGGTCAAAGGTAGGTGTCAACATAAACTACCACTTCATGACATCACAAGGTGTATTTATTTGAACTTGGGAGATGTTGACAGAATAATAATAAAGTATTACTCAAACATGTGTGAATGAAACAAAATACAAATTCAGATATGCTTTTGAGGATGCAACAGCACTCTACCACGGCCTAATGCTTGCAAGAGTACATTTTCTGTAATATAGGACCTAATAATAATGTTAGCAATCATATTGATAGTAGTAGAGCAGTATTAGTAGTTGTAAGATCAGGTCGAGTGTAGCACATATTTTTCAAGGTATTTCAGCACGAAAACACTAGAAGAATATGTTTAATGTATCTATGTAAATAAGATCATAATGTCTAATCAAACCAGCAGATGTCATTCTTCCAGAGCTGAAAATTGCAGTAGTCTTTTCTGCTCAATTGAACAGTGTATATTTAACTTGTACTACTACTCTGACATCTGTCCTGCAGTTTCACATGAGTACTACACGACAGGCACACAGGAGTAACATGTGACTGGCTGC